GTGGGAGGCCCTCAGCTTGAGATGCTGAAAAGGACATCAGACTTTATTAATGAGACTGAAGAGGCTGTGTGAGTAAAGCCGGCCAAACACTAACCTAAGGTTCATTCAAAATAGTTTGACAGAACATTCGATCTTCTTATCGAGTCAACTAATTTTCTTTCGAAAGCCCCTAAAAATGTCATCCACATTGGCTACTTGAATGGAATCCCAAATGTATTAAACAGGTTTGTTTTGAGTCTAGCACATTACAATACGTGCAGTTTTTCCCGATTGGAAATCACATTGATGGGCTTCTTCAATTTTTCTCATCACTATGGTCAAAAATGAACGTCTGTTAGACCCCACGAACCATTGGAACATCAAACACACTTTCCGAAAAATAATATTTTTGAAAGAACTTTGACTAGTGTGTGGCCAGCTTTAGCATGGTGGGCAGAGGGGGGAGAGAGTAATGTTTACTGCTCTCGGGATGGTAAAGCCTCCGGCACTCCTGGGAGTATTGCTGTCTAAAAAAAGATCTCCAACATAGAGATCCATCCATCATAAAGATCTCCATTATAAAGATCTCCGTCTCCATGCATATAAGTGGCTGTGTAGTCTAAAATGTGGTGACAATGACATTGTAAGCTGGGAGATTTAGCCAAATACACAGCTCCCCCTAGTGGTTACTCCTCATATCTCTATATTTAAAGCTAAATAAAATTATGGAAGAGCAAACGAGTAAAGATGTCAAAGGAGTGACAACAATTGTTTTAATACTGCAACAATAACACTAAATACACTATATGTGCCCTTTAGGAGAATGCTGTGTATCTGATAATCTGTCTGACATTGGTCTTGTATTCAAGCAGAGCTCCAGAAAATGACAAAATTAAAATAAATAGTCCTTTAAAAGATAAAATAAATGGCCATCATCATTCAACCCACTTTCTCTGAGCCCAGCCCAGCCTGTGGCTGGACAGTGAAGGGAGAAGCAGCACAGTGATGAGTGTATCTCTCTGTCACTCTGCTTTCTTCTCCTATCAGCATGCTCCTTGTCAGCACATGAACTGATTGGCTCCTTGTGCTGCTTTTTACCTCTTACACCCCAGCCCTGCTGTACAGAGATTGCAAGAGGCTGACCCCAGATTACATTCACTTACAATACTTGCATCGACTCTCATTGCAAAATAAATTAAAATTATTTATTCATCATATTATGAATGAATATCTATTTTTTTATATCAGCCTGCCATTCATTAATTAATTATGTTTTCTTTATTCTAGACCATCAATTCCCATCCCGATCAATGGACCGTTCCGCTGGGCCTCATGGCACTATCATTGTCCTTCTCATGATTCTTCAGCTTGTATTAAGGAGCTGCCAAGGTATAAATGAGCAGAGCCATATACATATCTCTGAGTTGGTCAGATAGTTTGCGTTGCAATGGATTCCTCTGATTTGCTTATTGCTTGTGACATTTATGCAGAGTGCTGTTTATCTTCTGTGCGACACTGAGCAAATTTCACCTGGTTCCACTTTCAGTGATTCCATGTACAGCGTGTGTCTGTGGTGCCTCTGTGTGCCAGCTGGAGGAAAGTTACCGGCAGGAAAAGGCTTCAGCTGGACATATAGCCACAGCTTAGTCCATCCATGCACACACTAAAGTAGATCTAGGTGGCATTGAGCTTGCAAAAGCATTGTGTATCATAAACAGCCACCATGGGTTTTTTCCCCCTATAGAATACTTTTCATCATTCTGAATCTGAGTGCAGCTAATCTCCTCCGGCCTCGTTCAGCCACTTCCTGTCTACATGCGCTCGCTCCAGCGTCGGCTGCACATCATTGAACTGGATTTCTGATGATGACAGTAGTGGATCATGTATTAGCATGGCCGCTTGTAATCTCAGCCAGGGGTGTGTAAGATGGGGTGACAATGCACAACTGGGAGACGGCTGTCACCCTAAAACAGGAAGTGACTGAACCTGGACCTTGATGGAAGGCCTGTCAAATATTATTTCACTGAAAGCTGTAGATGTAAAAAGATTGGAAACAACTGTTGAAATTAAATTAACATGTTAACAATTGTATGGGATTCATTGTTGGGTTTTGTTATAGATTAGGGATAGGCAACCTCGGCACTCCAGCTGTTGTGGAACTACAAGTCCCATGAGGCATTACAAGAGTCTTACAGAGGCAAAAGCACAATGGGATTTGTAGTTCCAGCACAGCTGGAGTGTCCAAGGTTGCCTACCCTGGTATATGTGAAATAACCTCTAACACTAAAACAAGAAGATGTGTATATGAGATCTCTTCTAATTCTTGTCTTCCGCTGTGAAATGAAAATACAGGAAGTCATCTATATTCAAAAATCACATTCCAGCTACACAGAGATTTAACTCAAGCCAAATGCGACCCCCAGTAACTGCAGCCTAAACATTGTACTGTGTGTTGGCTATAACTGGAAAGGGTTAAATCCTATGTCAGGGGGAAGTCTCACTGGTCCGGACAAAGAATAACAGGGGACAGAGAATAAGAATAAAGTAACAAATGGATGGTATTAACTTACCTTTACTTACTCTATCCAAAGCAAGAATAATAAAAAAAAACAACAACTTTTGGATAAAACTGGGCTTGAATTTGATTGCCCTGGCCAAATACAATTGGATTACCGAAGCCCTGATGAAGGGGGAGCCCCTGGAACGTGTTGGCTTCTTCTCTTATACAATAAAAATGAACTTTTAACTAATACCGTGGCACTCACATAATTACCTAAATTCTAATACCAGAGGATAAGGAGAGCTCTCCTTCTCTGCCATCAAACTTCCTCACCCTCTGATCCTTGGCAAATGGAGGAAAAAGCAACAGGTTCACTTAACTGCCCCCCTTCCTCAGCAGCACATACTCACGTTCCCTTCACTCCCCCACCACTCCATTTGGCTACTGAGAGTGAAGAGAGGAAGGACCGTGTAGGTTTCAGGTCACAAGAGCTTAAAAAAGGACTCTCATCACCCCCATAGGGCGGAGTGGGTGTCTGAGCAGTCAATCACAAAGCACCAGTGCTCTCATGTGGGCAAACGGGGAGTGAGACACATGCTCCTCATACCTAAAAGCCCCGGGTATCTCCCTTCACTATCAGAGGCAGAATGTAGGAGCATTAGGGTGGGCAAAGGGAAGGTGAGTATGTGCTGCTGAGGATAGCACCTCTAAAGTGTATTTCCACTGGCAATCAAATTTGAGAAAACCCCTCTATATGTTTCTTATGTGTTCTCATTCACACAACATAATGACAAGTTTTGGTTTTTTTAAATCTGTTTTAGATGTTTTGTTGCAACATGGTTGATTCCACGTTTTTCTCAGCACCTTCACAGTGATCTGTGGACTTAAATATGAAGATTGTGCTTCTCTCACTAAATTCATTAACATTTGAAAGCAGAAGCCAGAATTGTTAGTTATTTGCCTGCTTCTGGTATACACATAGTTAATGTTTGAGCAGGAGAAAGTTGTGTTTTCTACAGAAACAAGTTTTCTTATCTCTGTGTGTGAAACTTATGACCTTGAACCTTTCCTGTTCATTTCCTCTGGCACGGTTCTATGGTCCATATTATTATAATTAGTTTTGTATACGTGCATGGCTTTTTATTGGCTTACGCTCCACCATCACCCCTTTCGCTGTTCATATACAGGGTTATTCACAAAAGGGTGAAGAGTTTGGAGAAGGCAGGAGAAGGGAACAATCTAGGACAACATTGCTGATTTGGAAAAAATCTCCAATTCAGCTCGCTTTCCAGTTCAGCTATGTTGTCCTAGATTGTTCACTTCTCCTGCCTTCTCCAAACTCTTCACCTTTTTTGTGAATAACCCTGTGTATCTTTTGTTTTCACAATAAACCTTTAAATATGGAGTGAATACACTGTTTGGTGTGACTCTTTCCCAACTACTTGTTTGAAGCTGGCAGCACAATCAAATCCCGGGAAACCTAAACAAACTAAGTCGAGGTGGTGGGTTCAAGTCCTACCCGAGGTGGTGGGTTCAAGTCCTACCAGGGGTGGTGGGTTCATGTCCTCCCAGAGGTGGTGGGTTCAAGTCCTACCCGAGGTGGTGGGTTCAAGTCCTACCAGGGGTGGTGGGTTCAAGTCCTACCCGAGGTGGTGGGTTCAAGTCCTACCAGGGTAAAGTGACCAGATTTTTAAAATGAAATCCAGGAACATTTTTTTTTTTTTGTTACAAATTATTAGGGATGCACTGATACTAGTATTGGTATGGATACCGAGTATTTGGGCGAGTACTCGTACTCACCCAAATGCTCCAATGCCTAGCCCGATACCAGAACTTCCGATATAAGGAAGCCGGGCAGCGAGTCATGCTGCCCGGATTCCTGATTGACCGGGAAGCTGGCACTTGGTGACCAGGGAGCATGGAGCCAGCTTCCCAGCCAATGAGGAAGCCAGGCAGCGTGTAATGACTTGTCGCCTAGCTTCCTGATTGGTCGAGTCATTACTCGCTGCCCTGGCTTCCTGATTGGCCAGAAAGCTGGCTCCATGCTTCCTCTTCCCTGCTAATCGGGAAGCCGGTTGGTGAGTCTTTACACGCCGCCTGGCTTCCCGGCTAATCCGAAAGCCAGGTGGCGAGTAATTACATGGCGTCTGGCTTCCTTAATGGGACTTTTGGTATGGGTATTCAGTATCGGCAAGTACCGAAAAACTGGTATCGGTGCATCCCTACAAATTATATCCCTGGGAACATAAAATATATATCATTTTTTTTTAAACTCACCTGATCACTAGATCCACCGACAAGCGTAGACTCCCTTCTCTCACGCTGTGAGAAGCTGCATACAGCGCGCGCCAGTTACTATTTAAACCGGCGCTCGCTGTATGCAGCTTCTGACAGGCTGTGCTATTAGCGTAGCAGGAGCTACGCAAAATGCGCCACCGGCTTCCCCGCTATGCTATTAGCGCATCTTCTCAGAAGCTGCATACAGTGTGCACCAGTTTAAATAGTAACCAGCACATGCGGTATGCAGCTTCTGACATCATGGGAGATGGGAAGCTGCGCCCGTCGGTGGATCCAGGGGTCAAGTGAGTATATATAAAAGAAAAAAAAATGATGTCCCCGGTGACATAATTTGTCCGGGGACAGTTTCCTCCATCTGGGGACGAATGGTCACCCTATACCAGGGATTGTGGGTTCGAGTCCCTTCAGAGTCACTTTCCTGAGGGACCCTCACACCCCTCATCCCTCACAGCCTCTCCTAACCTTACTAAAGAAGGAGAAGCAAAGCCATAAGGAGCCAAGAAACCCTAACCCAAGTAAAGGCCATTTAAACTGCATTTTTCAAAAATAAGCATTAACAAGCATTTGTTGCTCTGGAACAATACTCACAGTACTTATTGCCAGTAGGTAAGGCTCAATGTGCTCAGTCATTCTCACCAATTACTTTCTTGTCTTAGAGTCTGCGGAGTACTTTGCCCCTCTAAATCTGGAGGTTCACTCTGACCCCCACCAGCAACAACGCCTGTTTGTAGAATGGGATTTCAATGACGGAGTCTACGTTTCTGGTCTGAACGTGATTTTTCACATCCAAGTGGCGCGATCCAGACAAATGAATATTATTCATGAAGTAAGGATGATGGTTGATATTTCAGAGTTATTTGGACAGCTGAGTGTAGGCGTCCTCTTTATGTGTAAAGGAAAAGTCCACTATCGGTAGAAAAGTTCATGTGTTAAATATAAATCATTTACACAAGTCATTGCTACTAAAAATTACCTTTTCATTCTATTATGGACATGGCTTTGGTTTTCTAGAGCCTACAAAAAATGAAACTCTTGTTTCCTTGCAACTCAGTACTCAGTGAACTGGGCTTTTCAGAAGTCTTTACTAAGGACTTTATTTATAATAGAGAACAGTGCCCATTGGAAGCTCTCTACAAGACTGTGCGCCTGCACTTTGCAGTTTGACTTCGTGCATGAGGATGTCGAACGTAAATTGCGGGTGTATGTGGCTGTATGCCACACACAAACCCATGTGCCTATACCCATTCACTACTATGTGCGGCTCTAAACCGCAGATTATTCTCCCAGGTGCAGAAATACACCCACAATTTACTTGCTCTGCCTCATGCGCCAGTGTGCGTGGGACTTATGGGAAAGTAAAACCAGACAAGTTATAGTGAGGGATAAAAGGTTCTAAAAAGCCCTCCAGTGAACCAGTCATTTTGGCCCACCTCACCATAACCCATTTTGTTATTCCCCAAGCCCCAAGCTTCATAGAAGCCATTGTTGCCATGCACTGCATTGATGATGGTTACCAAGATAAAGTGACGCCAAACTCAGGAATTACATTTTACATTTTCGGACGCCACAGTGCATTGTGGGATGTGCCGGGGTCGAACAGACCGCGGACATCCCATAATGTTCGGCGTTCGGCGAACGCTAGAACATGCAATGTTCGAGTCGAACCTATGGTCGACTCGAACATGCAGCCCATCCTTATTGTAAAGTAGTCACCGCTCCAAGCTCACTCCCGCAATGGACTGCAATCTCAGTACAATTTAGTAAACTAAACATGAGATTGTAGTCCATCACAGCAGTGAGCTTGGAGCGGTGACTACTTTACAACGCACACAGGAACTATGGGGAACAAAAGTAGCTACCCTTCAGCCTCCACCCTACAGCTGAGTGATACATATAAGCTACACTTCTGTAATTCATTAAGGTTCTTGAATGCATTTTTAAGATTTAAGTCCTGAGATTATTGTCTCTTTAAAAGAGCTTGATGCAGTTTGTAATAAATAGCTCTATAATGTTAGGCTGTATCTGCACTATAATCCAATGTTTCTGGATGTACAGTTGACCCCAGGGGCAATTAAGGAATGATGTGTATGGCTTTGCTCATTATTTTTGGAATTTGTAGACAGCCAGAATCTTCCAGAATAATTAAAAGTGGGTGTGTAAAACTTTGCAAAACCATCCAAGCTCATACAACATACGTCTCTGGTAGTGTTTAGCTTCTCTGCGTTACTTTTTTGTAAAATATTCTGTGGCACAAAACAACAGGTCCCCTTTAATCTCTGTCATTCGTTTATTTTGTTGTTCCAGGAATATTACAACACAAGCGTATCTGGAAGTGGTGAGCCCTTCAGCTGGTTGTGGGATTCCCAGCTGCCTTTAGAATGTGACTCCCATTCTTTCCGTATTCGTAGCGCCGTCTTAAAGGACAGTTTTCCCTCTGAACTGCACTGGAGTGCCTGGAGCCCATGGAAAACCCATTATGGTGAGCGCAGATTGACCATACAGATATCTCCTAATCTTGTGGCTGGGCAACCACGGCATAGATGCCACAAGAGGCCACACATGGCGAAGTGAAATCACAAACACATAGGAGGATGTTAAAAGGAAGGAAATGGTACTTTGTTCAACTTCAATGCAATGCAAAAACATGCCTAAGCCCTAGGATGTCTATACATGGAGATTCACCATTTTATGTTGTGGAATCAGAACTAGGTGGACCTGCTGCACTGAATCCTGGAGGATACTTTGTAGCTAGTGTGCCCATGTGTAAGATGATGTTAGGGGAGTTGGGCAGGGAGATGTGTGATCAGGGGAGTTGCTGGACCACAGAGTACATAACCTGGTCTTCTGTTGCCTCTTCAATACATGTTAAAGCCTAACTCCACCAAAACTGTGGGATGGAGTGAGAGGGAATCTATTTCTCAGTGTGTTTGGCAGCATGCCTTACTACAGTTTTCTTATGGAAATACATTATTGTGAATCTATTGCAAAGTTACTTACTTGGAGATCCTGCCAGTAAAAGCACTTCTTTTCCCGGGATGATGACACCAGAGGTGTGTGTACAACAAACTGCACCCCTGGTGTTCTGCCCTGCTCCTGGCAACCAGTGAAGTCACTAGTTTCCAGGAGCTGAGCGGGACGTAGGCCTGAGCATCCCGGGTTGCTAAGAGCTGAGTGGGGAGATGTTTAAGGGCCATACCTGAGCAATCTTGGATGCTCTAGCCTGCGTCCTACCTGCATACACATTTCCCCTCTTGCTCTAGTTGCTAAGAGCTGGGTATGTATATGCAGGGCTGTAGCTACCATGGGGCGAGTGAGGCACTCGCCTGAGGCTCCGCTGAGAGGGGGCGCAGCCAGGGCTGGGTTGGCTGTGCCCCCTCGCCCCTGTTGCCATGGCGAGCACAGGGTGCCATTGGCATCAGGGGCACCAGGCGGCCAACACAGTCCCGGCTGGGCAGGGAGAAGAGGAGCGGCGCAGGCTCCAGCTTCTCCTCGGATCCCCACTGCTCTCTCCCGCCTGTATGTGCAGAGGACTCTGTGTCCTCCAATCTCTTTTTCTGTTTCAAAAGGGAAATGTCAGGGGTCTGTTTAGATCCCTAATAATTCCCCAAAGCCCCCCAACAGTAAAAAATAAATAATAATTTTAAAAAAACACCCCCCTCACACACTCATGCACACTTATTACTAGGCATGTGCAAAGACTAAAAATTTGCTTCGGACAAAATTAATGGAAACTGAAAATTTTTTAATTGGTTTCGTCAAACGATCAACGCTGCGCCACCATCCTGGAGGCGGGCGCACGTGACGTTGCATACCGCACACGTCTGTTGGGGGACACAATTTTCTGTTCTTGCCTCGGGCGCAAAAGGAGCTAGCTATGGCTCTGTGTATATGGCCCTTACACATCTCCCCATCCGGCTCTTGGCAACCTAGGACGCTATGGCCATTGTCCCACACAGCTCCTGGCAACCAGTGACGTCACTGGTTGCCAGGAGCTGGACAGGACACTATCCAGAACATCCCTGGTTGCTAAGAGCTGGACAGGACACTATCCAGAACATCCCTGGTTGCTAAGAGCTGGATGGGAAGATCTGTATCGGGGAGAGAAAAAAAGTCAACTGTCTCCGTGGGTTAGCGAACTTTCACCGACCCACAGAGCAGCACCCCCCCCTTCAAGTGGCACCCAGGGCATATGCCATATGTGCCATAACCTGGATACGCCACTGGATGACACTAAACCGCTGACTTGAAATTAGCAACAGTGTTGTCAACAAGCAATATGTAATCCTTCAGTTGGCTGTTGGCTGCCTATCACTTCTTCAGTAGGCATGCTCAGACCTGATAGGCAGCTCAACGGCCAACTGAAGGGTCACGCAAGTAGGTATGACAATGCTGCTTGATGCAGCTTAATGGTGTCAGCCTGATACAGGAAGTGCTGTTACTGGCAAGATCTCCAATTAAGAAAGTGTGCAATTAGATGGCAAAATCTGGCAGAGGCTCTAGCCCTTTCCTACTCTGTCCAAATCTGAATAAAACATTTTGGCTGGAGTTGGACTTTACCATCATCCCAAGCATGATCCTGCGGACAAACATAATTCAATCTTTGCTGAACTTTGGCTGTGTAATGTAATTTGGTATATTTTTGGTATATAAAATGTTTGGTATATAAAAGTTCTTTAATGCCGAATGACACATCCTATGAAAAATACACTTTTTGGAATATCATTTAGTTTATCTATTTTTTAAATTAATTTATTATTTTAGTTAAGGAGTCACAACACATATCCACTTAGCCATGAAAGTATAGGTGGCCATACACAGACAAATTTCTTGATGAACCGGCCGAAATTTGGTCCATGGGGGGCCCTGTTGGTGGCCTCCTGCTCAAAATCTTTGATCAGAGAGTTAAAGGAACTGGGAGAAAATTCAGCAGCAGTCACAGTTTGGCTATTCTGACAGCGGCACGCCGCCGTGTTCAGGATACTATAGCTGACGGGGCTGAACAAGAAAAAACTCAGTGTATGGCCAGCTTTTGCTTTTTGATTCAATATCAATAATAACAAAATGAGAAAATGATTGAATGATAAGATAAGAAAGCAGGAAAAGACATTGCGAAAGTATATATTTTAAGCAGTCGAGTACTAACAGGGAATAGTATGAAGGTAAAATGTCCTTCTTTGCAGGGTTTAAATCAGTTTGAAGAAAATGGAGAGTATATTAACATATTTAAAAAGGCAGTTTTATATGAATTGCAGAAAGTACAAATGTGAATGTTATGGTATTGTGGCATTGAAGCATAAAATTGTATCCAACGCAGAGTGGAAAACACTAGTATTATTGAAGAAGGACTAATCAATTATTAAAGTGACACTAAACTCAGGAGCTAAATATTAAATATGCATTCAAGTACCTGAACTATGAACAAAAATGTATCTTATTTGTGTATCACTCGGCTGTAGATTCTCAAATCATCTCTGAATTGGTGCTGACACTGTCCTTCCTTCTGGAGGGTGGCTACTTTTCTTCCCCATGATCAGTGTGTGTTGTAAAGTAGTCACCGCTCCATCCATTCCCATGATGGACTACAATCTCAATACAAACTAAACATGAGATTGTAGTCCATCACAGGAGCGAGCTTGGAGCGGTAACTACTTTATAGCACACACAGGGACCATGGGGAAGAAAAGTAGCCACCCTCCAGAAGGAAGGACAGTGTCAGCACCAATTCAGAGATGATTTGAGGATCTACAGCCGAGTGATACACATTTTCCCTAAACTTGCATCCACACATAGGCGTCAGCGTTTTTGCGCGCATTTTCGCCTAACGTAATTTACTAATTTTTGCCCATTTTTTGCACATTTGTATGCGCGTTAGACACGCGCACATGAAGATAGGCGTCTTGGCTGGCAGATCAAAAACATTGCAGTCAATGGGGGAACGCGCGTACAAAAATAGCATACACAAAAATGTCGTGTCCGTTTTTCAGATTTTTCCATTGAAGTCTGAGGGGCCAAACGCACTGCAAAACGCCCCAAAGAAGCTCAGGAACAATTTTGAGTGACAGGCATTTTGCAGCTTGCGACAAAACACCTAGGTGGGAATGGGGGCCATTGAAATTAATAGGAATTTATGTGCTGAGCGTTTTGTCACGTATATTAATGCGTGACAAAATGTCTAGGTGTGAATCAGGCCTAATAGATAAGACACTTGAATGCATTTTTATGGTTTCACTTTAGTAAACTCGCTGACATAGCGTGGAGTATCGTGATTATAGATAGAGAAAATATAAGTTGAGAAGAGAGAATTTAAGCCATTAAAACAGATCCTACAAATAAAAATGAAGCAGTACTTAATGCAATGCTAAGGGGAGCATACAAAGAAGAGTTCATAAAGAAGAGTTTATTAATAAATCTCATTTTATTTTTTAATAAGTGTTGACTTTTACTGAAAAGGGACGCTTTATGTATAAACTTCAGCTGCCTATCACTTTGGATCTAAAGATCCTTTTGGCATGTCTGTACCATCCTGGACAACTTTACTCTTCTCCCTTTGAGGCGCTATTCTTAATGTTATCAAATACACTCTTGAGCAATCTAATGTTACATTTTATGGTACCCTTTATTTTCCCAGGAAAGAACGAGAACAGAACAGATATAGTAATCTACCCCCATGAGAAAATTGTTCTAGAGGGTTCGGACGTTACTTTTTGCTGCTTGCCTGGCCTCTCGAGCGTAGTCCAGAATATGTTCTATAAGAATGAACAGTATCCCAACAAGTCACAGCAGATGAAAACAGAGAGTTTTGTGATTTTGGTGAAAAATGTATCGATGACTCGCTCGGATGGAGCCAATGTTGTTTGCCGTGTGGACCCTATGAGCGTTCGAAAAGGGACCGTCCTCATTGTTAGCAGTAAGTTTAGTTATATGAAGTCATGTATGTCATTGATGTATTGCAGCCTCCGCTTAAATGCTGCAAATTTGGAGGGGAAGTTCCAGATTTTGTAAACTTGTCCTGAACAGTATTGTGTAAGGAGATGACCCTGATTTAAAAGTTCTGTCGGTACTGAAAATATGTGGTTGATAAGGCATACTCTGACATTGCATAATAAAAGCTAGAAATAATTCATACTGTAAAATGCATCAAAACTAAAGCCTTCAAGTTATTCTTGTAGTGAAGCCTGTACAGAGAGGATATGGAGGCTGCACTGCTGACCTCTGTTTATGAAAATGCTAGTTGCATAGCTGTCATGCTGATCCAATGGCTTTAACACATGCAAGGTTATTCACAAAAGGGTGAAGAGTTTGGGGAAGGCAGGAGAAGTGACCAATCTAGGACAACATTGCTGAACTGGAAAGTGAGCTGAATTGGAGAATGTTTCCAGTTCAGTTATGTTGTCCTAGATTGTTCACTTCTCCTGTCTTCTGCAAACTCTTCACCCTTTTGTGAATAACCCTGATAGAGTTATTGACCTGGAACAAGTTCTGACTCCACTCTGACCTTTTAATCTACATTGTTCCAAGTCCATGTTTACTATAATTGACCCTGTTTGTACTGTCCTGGCAGATCTCATTATCAGCTGTAAACTAGATTTTAACACTGTCTGTCCTAAAAAAAGATCTAGAAGCATTGTCTGTTAAAGGAGAACTATGAGGAGAGTGATTTCCACTCATCCTCATAGTGAGAGCCGACTTGTGGCAAAGAAGCTGTCACAGGTCGGCTCTATCGATCGGGAAGTGAGCAGAAACATGCAGCCGATCTGTTTACTACCAGATCGTCTTCCTGCAGAGAGTGGTGACTGTCAGTCACCGCTCCCCGCAGGGATTCTCCCCCCCCTCACCTCTCTGATCCTGCAGCGCTGAGTGGGGGGATGAACGGGGGAGGGGGCGACACAGCTGGCTTTGCCTCTAGAAAGGCAGAGCCCGCTGTCACTCACGCAGCTGGGTGGATCTTGACAGTATTGTCAGGATCCATCCCGGCTGCGGCGCTCTCAGTATTGCCCGCGATATACTGAGCTTCGGGTCACAGGAGGATGTTAGTATATGTCCTCCCGTGACCCTAAAGAGAATTATGGGGAAAACACTATTGTAGCTTGTAATGTTTTTTCCAGAAAAACATCTAAAAGATAAGATATTTTGAACAAATATATATTTGTAAGTATGATGTGTGAATAGGAACATATCACAAACATATAACGGGGTTTTCTCAAATATGACTACAAATGTGGAAAAAATGTTTTTAAATAAATGAACAATGTTTTAAGTAATACATATGTGGAATAATTTAAGTCACTTGTTTATATCTGCCTAGAATTCATTTATCAGACCTTTTATGTAGCACTACATTGTACAATCTGACTTATGTGTGCATTTTTTTAAATCATTCTTACAGGGCCACCTACTGAGCCAAATAATTTTTCCTGTGAAACAAATGACTTACAGAGGTTACATTGCACCTGGCGGCCCGGGCCTAAGTATAACTTCTATGGTCCTCTTGCTGAAAAATACACCTTGCATGAATGGTAATTTGCAGACTATACTAAAAGATACGTGTAAAGAACTATGCTTAGCTGGCTTAGCTATGTGCTGGCTTAGATAATAACCTGTAGCTGGACTGTCAACTTTTTTAACCATTTATCAGCATTTATTATCTCATACTTACCTTTTAAAGCTGAACTCCAGGAAAACTACTAAATATACAATTGAAAAATATATATGGAAGTCGTACCTGCTGGCGTCCAATAGAAATGGTGTATTTGATGGCAATAGAAAGTAAATAGGCAACTAACAGAAATGAATGAGGGAGCAGTGCTTCTCAGGATTATGGGATATAGTCAGTTTGCAGCCCCCGCACCGCAGCCAATGACGGGGCTGTAAAAAGTAACTCATTAGATGGGTCCAGCTCTAAGATATCCAGTGAACAGCAAAACACAGGGGTTGATTTACTAAAGGCTAATAGGCTGTCCACTTTGCAAGATCATTTTCCCTTAGCTTAGTGAATGAGGTGAAACTCTTAACATGTGCAATTGTACCTAATCAGGTATTCTTTGCAAGGTGAATTTTCAGCACATTGACTAAACTAAAGGAAAAATAACTTTTATTAAAACCCCATGGCCTTCTGATGGCACCTCTAAGAGACGGGTACAGGGTTCTCCAACATTAGGGGATGCATTTACTACCTTTTTATCAAGCCTCATTTAGGCATGAATATGCTATGGTATATAGAGCGATGCAGCAGGGAGAAAAGTCAGCACTGTATATACCATAGCACACTTATCATAAATTAGGCTTGAGAAAGGGATAATATCCTTAAAACGTGTCACCGAGCCTTTAACCTTGGAGCATCTTGCTCCCATCTAAGAAGTTACTTTTTCCAGTCACAAGAACTGTATCACAGCCACGTAACTGGCCGCAGTGTGCTGGTTAGCAACTGACTGTAGTCCATTGGTCTGAGAAGCACTGCTCCCTCATGCATGTCTGTGAGTTGCCTATTTGCTTTATTACCAATAAATACACCATTTTTATTGCACAAGATCCACGCAAACATTTCCTTGGAAGAGGAAGTGACATTGGTAGAAAAATTAGAAGATAGAGAGCTAAGAGAGGGAAACAGAAGTCATATGTTGAACAAACCCTTTTTATCTTTTGACCCTAGGTGTGCCCAATGATGGCCTGAGTCTTTTTAGGCCCTGACAAAGCCCCTGGCTGAAATCAAGTCAAAATAAATCACTTGGCTTTCATGGACATCCGTTAAGCAGTAAGACAGCCAAGTGCTAGTTTTGCTCAATATTCTCTCTGGTACTTTTGGATAGAGCAGAGCTCCTAAAATGCTCTGTGTAGGTCAGAACATGATGAGAACTATCTGTCCAAACCATTGTGCTCCTTACGCTTTGGCATATAACTAAAGGGCTGAGCCCATTAAACCAGTTGAAGCCCTGAAGTTACAAGATGGTATACCCTATTTGTGGATCCTGAGGTGTGCTCAATTGTCATTCTGTTAAATTGGGTGAATGGACCGTGATATGTATTTTGCATTTAATTGTGATGTAAAAATACAGTTCCTATTGAAGGTTAGAAAGTGGATGCAAAATATATGAACCAACATTCAGCAAAGATTGAAAAATGGTTACAGGTTCATACTTGGAATGATGGCAGAACTTACCATGAAAGGACACCCGGGGGCCCGATAGACGTATCTGGGACACATGCTCTAGGTGCCATTGTCTAGCAAAGTCCCTGCGTAAAATATTAACCTTTTGGGATCATCCATAGGTGTGCAAAAGGGGTGTGTCTGGACACACACTAATCACCCCAAGCACAACACCGAAAGCGCAACAGTGGGTGCTGCGTTTTTAGTCACTGAGTCGGTGGAGAGATCACAAAGATTGCTCTGTGACTGGCTTAGCAATACAGAATGCTGGAAGTCATGGCAGGGGGTGGGATCTGTGTGTGGAAGGTGCACTGATTGGCTGCATATGTCTGATCAGCGGTGCAGCAAGAAGCGCAAGGGAGCAAAACTTATCTTGGCTTATGGCCCGCTTTATGCAAGCATGCAAACACATGTATTTTTCTGAGAGTTTCAAAGTGTTTCCTTTGTGGTTGAGTCACTTGCATATAAAGTTAGAAGACAAAGGAATGTGAAATGTATTTTCCCACAATGACTTCCGCTGCTTATATCTTGGGATCTGGTAATCGTTGTGACATGCGGTTCTCACTGATGGTGGCCTCTGCTCACAACTATTGTCATGGCATGCTCTGAATCCCCAAGGACTGTGATAAATGTTCTTTGTTACACTGGAGCGAAGGACATTCTACACAATAAGATATGATCTAATACAATAATTCATACTTGTCTTTATAAACATTTATTAGACTCTCAGTCATTCTATTTTATTGTGTTTTTTTCTACATGAAGGGTATCTGGAAGGTCTGCTTCTTGCTCCAGAGAGAATTGTACTTGGCCCGTTGCAAGGAACCAGCAAATCTATAATTTTACATTGAATGTTAAAAATATATTGGGAGAGAAGAGTATACAGGCCGTTGTGGATCTAGCAGAGAGAGGTATGGTGGTGAAAGTTCTGTTCTTCCATAGATGGCCATTGTTTAGTTACCGCGGGATGCTTTAAAGGTCAAGCAGTCAATAGTCACTTAAAGGCCTTCTGGTAAAATGGCATTTTTTCTTCTGGAAAGGGTCATGGACTGAGAGTTTGAAAGCGGTACGAGTGAGGGGTCAATATCCCCTTCTCTCTTTGCCGCATCCAACACCAAGATGGCCACCAGCAGTGAAGTACATCACTGCACATGCGTGATAATGTCAGGCCACGGACGTCATTACGCATGTGCAGTGGCCACACCGGGTGACACCTTCCCTGGTGCCACCGTTGCACAGCAAAATGCCTCAGTACTTCTCTTAAGATTCTTCAGCCGTGATGCAAGCAGTGGGGTGACTCTTGGGAGGAGTTATCAAATATCAAAATGCCTTGATGTGTGGGTGTCACTCTGGAGGACTGGGCATTCCTCGGCAGGCTGCCTTTGCATGCACACCACCCCAGGCAATTGAAAGAACTGAAAGCTAGTGAATGACTGTTAGGCCGGGGAAGGTCAGACTGGAGAAGTAAGTGTTAGATGATGCTGGACATCCGTCAGCCAGGAAATTAGAGGGGCTCTCTCTGAGATGCTGCAGCTTCTAATAAACGAGAAGCTCAGAGTGGGCAGTGAAATCAGAGGAAGCAATTGCAGTACAGGAGAGGAGCTGGTCTTGGAGGAGCCAGATTGCTGGACTGCATTAGAAATCTGGACTGCACCACTGTAAGGTTTCAGCAGTTGCAGGCTAAACGCACAAGGGCAGAACAGCTGATCCGGTCCAGTATTGTTTTACAGGCGATTTGCCGGTATTGCGCATGTGCAGGGAAGCCAGTGGATCCGGAATATTCAGAGGCGAGGCGCCTACGGCCACATAACTTAACACATAATAAAAATAACAATAGAAATATAAATAATTTTCTTTGTTATCATTATTTTGTCTTAATAATAATGCCCAGCCGATGCCCCCAGATTTGTCGCGGGTCCAGGATTCTACCAGAACACCGGTACAGCTGTGCAAAACTGAAGGGAAGGCTGCAGTAATCCTTTAAGAAGTTTAAACTCAGTTCAGAACAAGTCAGAAATCTTACACTTCCAGACATGGATTAACCTCAGTCCTGAACTACACTCCTAATCTCTGTGTCATGTCAGCTGTTAAGTACTTCTGAGTTTACTAAAAAAAGAAAAACAAATTGTCGCCATTACTTATGATACTGAATGTAATATTTGCTCTCCTGCCATCACTTGTATAAATTACATTTAAAGGAACCTGCACTAGAATAATTATGTACTCTATATGGCAAAAAGTATGTGGATACCTCTCCTAATCATCGGGTGCAGGCGTTTCCAGTGAAGGGCAGTATTAATACTTCAGCATACAAAGACAATGTAGACAACCTTGAAGCAACAGTCTAAACCTGTGATTATTTCCTAAAACTTTGCATTGGAAACAATTTGATATTTTTTGGTTCCATGCATACAATTTCCTTTTCTGTGTGATCTTTCCTTTGGATCGTATTGTTCTGTAAGCTGAAATTAAAATGAATTGAATAAATAAATAATAAAGAAAAATAGAAAAAGTGAAAGTTGGTCACTGAGAGTATTCTGCCAGCCCAGTTAACTTTCCCTGGTGGAAGTAACAGATGATTCAGTGTGAAAAGTGAGTCATTTCTGTGTGCAGTAGACCAGAAAACCATACAGCTATGGAACACCCCTGGCCCTGTGGTTTGCTGTGGAGCAGATGACCAGAGTGGAACAATCACCGAGAAATCCTTCTCATTATTAACAAAAATGCTGATTTATAAAAAACAGCATAAATAAATGTTTTCTGCCAGCCAGAGACATCTGTGCATTCTGTATCCTCCGCTGGAAAATGACAGTAGGAACCTTATTGTAAAATACCCAAGTATCATGAGCTCTCATCAAACGCCCTAATGTTTGTCTCGCCCAGGTCCATCCAAAACATTCCTGAAGTAGCATGTAAATCAAGAATCTCTGGTATTTAATATTTGCATGTGCATAGGTTTGCCCCCTGTCCCACAATAACCAGGCCCGCAGATAGGTTGCTCAGGTCATGTATATCTCCCGTAGAGGTGGCATACCCTTTCTTTACTATAAGGATAATATATTATCAATATAAAGAGGCATGGCAGGGGGTGTTCTGAAAAGTACTGGAATGGCAGATGCTAAGGGAAGAGGTTTACTACTAGGTCCTGCTTTTTAGTTTAAAATGTATTGCCACTTTTGCAGGCAAATTTAAGGAAAGCCCTCTATATGTGTGTTATGTGTTCCCATTCATACACCATACCTAAAAATATATATTTTTTAATTTCTCTATTGAGCGGGCCTTTTGGCAGACTGCAAGCTTCTCTCTACAATATCAGAGTGACAGGAAACTCTACCTGTCCCCATAGAAAGACTAAGAACAGACTGAGCTTCCCATCATTAAGATACAATCTTCTTGGTCTTTAACCCTTTATTAGGGCAGACAATGTTCAAATCTAATTTACAACTGCTAATGAGATCTGCCAGCAAAGTGCAGACAGGGTTTATTATGGTAAACATTAACCTGCCCAGCCCCCTTGCATTTTAGAGGAAAATTAAGTTTAGAGAAAAACTTGTCTTTCAGGAAAGAGCAAGTAACATGTAATCAGAAATGTTCACAGTTTTTTTTTAAAGTTATTCTATGTGAATGAGAACATGTAACAGATATAACATAGGAGTTATCCCAATTTAGCTTCAAAAGGTTTGCTTTATTTTCCCTGCAGGTTGGCTTTAAAGCTGAATTCCAGGGAATCAGATGAAAGAAAATCATAGACCAAAAATTACCTGCCAAAGGATTTGTCACTCTGTGTGGCCAGTTTGCAATTCAGGCATCACTTCCAAACAGTGCAAACAGGTCCCAGGCCTCCACTGCAGTGGCAGCACAGCTTGGTCTAAAAACCCCACACCCCAGCTTGCAGTTTATTGATTGGACAATAATAGAGTAGAAGGCAGCCACGGGGTAGACACTGATGAGTCATCCCTGAGGCACATATGCAGTATAGCAGAAACTGATTAGTTGCTAGTGCTAACCCTCGTTCTCCCAGCCCAGAGTGCGGCTGATACAGGAGGCTGGCAGATGCAGGAGCTCACACTTTTACAAATAAATGTTCATTACTTCTTTATGAATCCTTTTATAGGTAAACAGTTGATGTTTATAAATTTGATTGTGCTTAGCTGTGATTATACACAGAATATTATGGCCACCTGACGTTTGTAGGCAAATTAGCTATAGTTAGCTATAAAAGCAGGTTGTTTACCACGACAGTAGAAGTGATTTTTTTTTTTTTGAAGCTATGGTAAACAACGCGATTTAACAGCCTTTGAACGTGGGATGATTGTTGGCGCTCGGCGCCATGGAGCGAGTATCAGCAAAACAGCAGAATTCGTTAAATGTTCAAGAGCAGCTGTTGTTAAAGTGTTTAAAGACTGGACTGCCAGCCGAAAATCTGGGTCTGAACGTGCTATTTGTGGCCATCAGCGACTAGTCAATGTTAGGGCATTTGTATGTTGCACAGTATTACAGCAATATAGGGACACCATATACAGTCTTTCAAATTATAATTCTCATTATGTTTCTTTTTTACCAGTCCGCCCCGTGGCTCCTATGAATCTAGTTACAGGATACATAAATGCAACAGATGCTCGGTTAATCTGGACTTTGAAGGCCGACTACACATCTCTTATACTGCGTTGCCAGACTGATCTTAAGGGGAGCACAGTAAGTAGACTAAAAATTAAAACAAAGCTTTGTTATTCTTCCAGCCCACTCAAATGAGCAACTGTACCTAAATATAGATATAACTTTATACAGTATATATCAAAAAATGAAATTGATAAAAATGTATAATCCACAAATCCAGACAGCTATTTGCCCCCATGATATAATACCTATAGATAAATACATAAATACAGACAATATACATTATACATATCAATCATATTTAAAATGTAAAAAAAGCTTGGAAAGATGGAACACGCCATATGGTAGCATCATTTTGGAACTTCTTCATCTACAGGTTCAGTGTGAGAAGGCACCGTGACACAAACCTTTACATCCCTTCTATTCGGCAAATGTTATTACTGTTATTACCTTTGAGACATATTGTTTTCCTCTATGTGCCAATCCCTCCATACTTCTATGTTTTACAGATACCACCTAAGCTTCTTTTACTATCAAAGCAAAAGCAAGATCCATTCATTTGAAAGATTTTCAGTTACTTCCTGTTCTGGCTAACATTAGGACAGGAAGTGAGGGTAAATCTCCCTCAAAGGCACACATACAGCAATTAACACCTGACAGAAGCTCCAACCCTTCCCCACCTACTAAAAATATATTTTTCCTGGCTCACCTCATGTCAGCATACTGATGGGTCAGCTCCGCCCCTCTGACCCCACAGGACCACCTTCCAAAGTGAATAAAAGGCCCGAACCCCCCTTAGATACCTGTTCTCTTTTTGTCCTCGCTCCAGGCCACAAAGTTATTGATTTCTTCCCTCCCTCATGGGGTTACTTGCTATGTCCCATCAGTATGCTGACATGAGGTGAGCCAGGAATACAGAAAATTGTTATCCTACTTACCGTAATTTTCTTTTCCTGGCTCATCCTCATGTCAGCATACATACCCACCCTCAGTTGCGGGCCTGTCGCTCGTCTTGTCAGGGAACAGGTATCTAAGGGGGGGTCGGGCCTTTTATTCACTTTGGAAGGTGGTCCTGTGGGGTCAGAGGGGCGGAGCTGACCCATCAGTATGCTGACATGAGGATGAGCCAGGAAAAGAAAATTACGGTAAGTAGGATAACAATTTTCTGTAATTTCTATATTTATTGCTATCTGTGTCCCCATAGAGGGCATATTCATTCACTTCATATTTTGTCTGATACACTTCAAATACACAGGAAGTAAAGGGGAAATCTCACTCATGGGGACACAGTGAGGAATAAAATATTGACAGCGTTTTTTATTCTTACAAAATTGGAAAACAATTTTGGCTGGAGCTAAGCTCTGAATAAATACTTAGAGTATCTGGATTACCACAAATGTAGTACTACCTGTACATGGCTGTTTTTTCTCTTCTGTGCCCAGAAGTCATTGATGTCTCAGTATGCATTGATGCATACTAAAAATAAATACTAAAAATACATAAATATATATATATATATATATTTAGGACCCACTGTTTTAATGGAAACAAAAACCCTGCTCTGGTTTTATTATAGGATGGCAAGTATTTCCTATATTTTTAAATAAATGTATTATTATTTAAAAAGAAACCTTAATAACATAGGCACAAGCACACAGTACTTGTATGTTCAATGTCAACATCATATTAAAAAGTCAGATGAAAATCAAGCCAGAACTCTGAAGTACCTGAAGTACCACATAGGTGATTCAACTCACACCCATCTACACAAAATCAGAGTATTGGTTTTGGAAGCACTTATGTTTATTGTTTCCTTGTAGGTGAATGTGACAGTGAAAGGGAAAACCTCACTGGAGATGTACAGCATCAGTCTTCCCCAACTGCAACCATTCACTAAGTACGACCTGAGAGTGCGCTGCATGTCGGAGTCATCATTAGCAGGGTGGAGCAACTGGAGTGACGCGTTCGTAATCCAGACACAGGAAGCCGGTACACCAACAAAATATGAGAATTCGAAAGCAATGTATATGACTACAAATTGTAAAAGGACAGGATTATAAAAATATTAACTAATGTAGAAAAAAATGTTTACATTGAGGGTTTATTTATCAGAAGCAAGTCAAAGGCAGTAGGCTGAGTCTCTCAGATGCGTCTTGCTTTGACCTGCCTTTTGAGTTGCTCATGGAGTTGGTTCGAGCTGCTGCTAAGTTCTCTCTGATTTTGTATGGGGAATGAGCTGTAAGAAGATGATATCCACATATACTGTATATGAACACACACCAAAAAGTTTTAAAGCAGTTTTCAGATGCTTTCAAATTCCTTCTAAACTACTTTAGCATTCCCACTGACTTGTATGGGAATAAAGAAGTCCTGAAACAAAAACAAAGCCTAAAAAACTGTAGATTCCTCTTCTTGGTGTCCTTAAAGGCTACATTACTGCATCAGTGCTTTTTCAGCATGTTTTTATGTATTGTTTTAATGATATATTTGGGGCAGGCATATTTCCCATCACATAGAGACACTTTGCAGCCTCTAATGATGTCATGCACATAATACAGAGTGTTGGCACTATATAAATCCTGTATTATAATAATAATAATGATTCTATTGAAGAGTGATAAATCTATTTTATTATGGTCCTGTTTCTATAAAACCCAACTCCAAAAAATGAGCAGACCGCCCCCCCCCCACCGAGT